AAAAAGTTGAAAAATGAGAAGAAGAAAAAGAACATGAATATCCAGAAAAGCAAACTCAAATTAACCTGTCATTGTAAAATATTTATAGGTCGTCAAACTCTATCACCAATTAAAATTTTGTAACACCTGAGAAAGGATCTACAAAACCGAAAAAAAAAAAATCCAAAAACAACTGAATTTTGAAGATGGAATCACTGCCAAAGAAATTTGATGCCTACATCTGATAAGGCATTGTGACTTTTCAACAGGAAAACAGAAACCAAAAGAAAAATAAAAAATAAAAAATAAAAAAATGAAAATGAAAATTGCTCAAGGGCTGACATTTGTGTCATCTCTTCAGCTACAAACACATGCATTGAAGATTTCCAGGCTTGCAAAGTAATCCCTTCCCTGAAAGCAGCAATTTAATCGTGTCCAAACCGTGCTGCATAAAATCGAGATAATATGGACAACTCGTTCCATCATTCATAGCAGCATAACCGAGTGATCAACAAAAAGTATTCTGTGTAGTTACTAAATATTGGGCATAGCAAATCCTCTTTGACCATCCTTTTGCTCATTCCAACAGCCATAAAAAGCAGCAGCACGCGTTTACTCTGTACTAATCGTGTTAACTATTTTCAGAAGAAAAAGAGAATAATGTTCAACCTTCATTCGTCTTCAGCTATAAAATTAGGCAGTTCACCCTGGCACAAGTACTCATCACATAACGAAGCCGAACCCCAGTCCTTTCGAAGCCGCAAGATATCCTCAGTGAAAGTGGATCCAGGAGACCCGACAAACACTTTGGACAAAGCACATATGGCCTTATCCAACATTGCTTCGACCTTCATCACCAAATACGAGATTCAAGTGTAAGAAATAAACTTTATGTTGATTGTCTATGAGACATGTAAATAACAAGCAAGGTTAGCTCTCAAAAATCATTTTAATTCCCACCTTCACAAGAACTCTTCAGAATTATTTGTGTTCTCTTGTTGTCTATTACATATGAAAGTATGACATTACAAGCAAGGTAATTAGTAAATGTGCTTATTTTACCACACAAGAATTCTTTAGAACTGTTTGCATTCTCTAAATTCCACTTTGGATTTCAAGGAGCCTCACCAGGACAAATATGAAGCAGAAAACTTTCGGAATATCAGTCAAGCAAAAGTTACATGAACTAATCTGAACGTTAGCTTAATTACAAGAGAGCATCAGTTACCTCTGATAATTGCAAATAAATTCACCCACTCATAATTTCTAATTCAATTAAAGAAGCATCCTTTCTCATGAGTGAAGTTTGAAAAGGAGGTCTATCTTTAATATGAGTAGTTTCTTTTCTATGATTGACTAAATCTTGAAGCTCCCTTTCGTAACTAACCCAAGTACTTACTACATTTTGCTGCTATTAGAAGCGGTCAAGATCAGATTTGAGATGGTTGAGTCATATCATGGTAAGAAAGTTTTCCAAACTATGAAAAGCAACAGAAAAATGCTAGAATCAACAATCAAGCGAGCTATAAAGTAGCACAATTAAAACTAATAAACCCGAATAAAACGAGAACTCACCTGGGAATCCCCAGTGAGCCCGTGTCTGTACAACAAAGCATCCCACTTTTCAGCTACATTACTAGCCGGTCTTTGAACAAGCGGAACAGTCTTCCCATTCCAGACAACAAGTGACTGCAGCAAACCGGTCTCACTTTCAGCAGCATCTGTTGACAGATATATAACCGGACTATTTGCTCTTTCAACCACTCGATTGATGCACTCGGCTGCTTGAGGAACAGGATAAAAGCAACTCGGTTTCTTGGCATTACTGGAAAAAGGCCGAGTGAATTCAGTTAACATGATACGTTGGATTTCAAGAAGAAAAAGAAAACAAGCATATAAAAGAATGAGAAAAATACCAGAATTTCAAGAAACCATGGCGCCGGAAATGAAGAGCTATAAAGTCCTTCCCCAAGAATGTCTGAACAAAACGTTGAGCCGTGAGCAAAATAAAACGACTTGGCTCGATCAAAGTCTTGCATTTATGTGCAATAGGACCACCTGGCTGCATCACCCACTCTGTCTCGATGTTGGCAAAGAATACATCCCCAATTGCAATAACATCATCGTCTGAAGAAAACCGGTCTAAAACATCCTGGACCGTACGATTTTTTGGCTCCTTGACATCTTCCTCCCAAACAGTCTCAATCTTACTCAACGATAGCCCCAAATCCTTTAATTTCTTCACATGATCATCATCCAGAAAACAAGGCTGTGGCAACGAGAAATAACACAAAAATTTATCTACTTGCATATGGTTTTTCTTACTCTCGGCAAATTCATCGAATGTCGCCACAACTTTTTTCCCTGAACAATTATTGATATGGTCTATATCTATTACCCTACTGAACTCGTAATCGACTTTCGCGCTTGGAATCACCAAAACTCGGTCAAGCATAGCCGCAAAAAACATGTGCTTCTCCAAGCATATCAAGTGATTCGACATTTGCCCCGAAACGCATATAGCAAGCAAATACTTGTCAGGTCTAGGGTTCCATTCTTTAGTTCTCCTCTCAGATAATCTCTGGTCCACCTTACCGCACATATCCCAACCCAACACACTAGTGTTTGTGTAGTTCTCATCAGAATCCAGAGACCCATTTCCGTGGGATGACAACAGAACACCTTGGATTTGCTTGTTCAACGAAATCTGGCTAGAAACACGAGATTTCAAGTCTTCCAAAACCGATGACGAAAGCAAATCAGCACCATCTACATTACTATTACCATTTAAGAAACTAATTTCTGATCTGTTCACCATCTTTAAGAGCTCAACTTCCTGCTGCTTGAGCAAATGCAAAGCCTGCAACTCCGACTCACGCATCCGGCTAACCGACGCATTACTATTCACTAGATTTTCACCCCAGGACGTGCGCGCCCGGAAAAAATCCTTCACATCGGTGGCAAAATACAGAACGAAGATCGAAAAAAGAAGAATTATCGCGAAAATACACCACTTACCGAACCTGTTTGATGCGCCGGAGGACGCACTTCCGGAGACGCCGCCAATTCGAAAAGTGGATCGAGCACGGTGATCCGGGGATTTCCGTCCATCATTCCGACCCCCGCCATTGGTTATTAGATTTTCGCAGTCGTCGTCTTCGCTAGTAGGTTGAGATTGCATCATTTTGCTGCTCACTTTTTGGCAGTCTGGAGCCTGGAGGTACAATCAATGAGGTGGAAATGGAGGAAAACACACAGAAATACGTTAACTGTGTGTGTAATTTTTACAGTTATGTGAGGGGACGCGAGAGAGAGTTGATCGGAAGAGCGAGATGTCGGAGAGGACGGTGGCCCAATATTAGATTGGGCTGTAGGGAACGAGCCATTGTGAATTATGGTCGCGTATAGGCGTGGCCCGGCCCATTTGTCCTCATTTTCTTATGTTTAAAAAAAAATGACAGATTGGTTTATATTCAGTTCTACATATAATGTGTTTTCAACTAGTTCTTTAGCTAATGTATCCGTAAAATCCATACAGTTCATACGCCCCTTTGACAACTAACTCTTTGATGCTATTATCCAAGTCCTCAAACATCAATGGAGTTATAACTCAAATAACATACGGCACAGCTCACGATAACCATAATTATGTGGAATGATGAATGAAAATCATCATTTCAGACTCTATCTGATNAAAAAAACACACACACACACACACACATTAACACACACATATACTGTAAAACATGAACGACAATAAACAAGATCACGTATATTTTTTGTATATAAATCATAGATAAACGTGTTCTTAGTTGTGCCTCGGAGAAACAGCTCAATCAAAATTTGATCTCCCCGATTGTTTGTTTTTCTTCTCTAACGAGATCGCTTTAGCCTTCTCGTTTTCAAAATTCTTATGAAGCTATTGGACCCGTGATTATATAATTATTTACCATATAATATATTTTTTTTAGTTCATGAATCTCGTTGGTTACTGGATTCTTGAAATAGTAAATCTTTATTTGTTGGTCCGTTTCTAATATATAGTACACATCTAAATAATTATGTTAAGTTAGATGTATTTGCAAATAAGTTTTTAATTTTGTATATCTGCAATTATTTTGAAATCACTAACGCATACATGTAAATTCCTTTTGTCTAATAATATTGTACATGATATCAGACCAATTGATACTTACTCAATTTTTTTAATTTTCAAATAATTAAGTAGCGTTTTATGCAGTCGTTCCAATTAGATTCAACTGGTGGCTTTGGCTAGTTAATTGTGGTATGTGTTTCTGTTAATGAATT